GAAGTCCCTCCCATCACTGAATCTGTGTCGGAGACCAGACCGTGCGGGGCTGCCACGTGGGTCCCGGCTTCGCCGCTGGGGACACACATCTCAAGCGGATGTGGCCAGGAGCACGGTGGGAACAGAGCGTTCCATGAGAGTTCCTTCTGCTCTACCCTGAGGCAAAGTCTCAGTCAGTAGTATTACAAGCTGCCCGTCTCAGCAGGTGCAGCCGCCGGGGGCAAAGAGCCCTCCCCAGCAGACCCCCGCAGCCACAGCGACTTCTGCCAGCTACATTCACCTTAAATCCCGTTACAACGGGTGGACACGGGGTGGACGTATACAAACGTTTCTTCCTAGGCTGTTCCGATGACCGTCTGTGCTCTAATAAATGGAGAAGCGTGGCTGTCTAACCTCTCTGCCAGCTGCATGACCCAGGCATCCCCCCCCCCCCACCAGGGCACAGTCAGGGACCGCCAGCCAGTCCCCCACACGTGTGCAACTAACACATCATAGTTAGAAGACCAGGGATCATCCTTCAATTATGATGGAAGTAAGATGAGCCCTCACATCCGAGACCATTGACCTGGAGGGAGAAAATAAGCAGAAGAAGCAAGGCAAATGGGGGCTTTCTGAAGTCAATGTGTCTTGTCCTTTAATTATCTTTCCTTTCCTTGGCCATATTGCCTGATTCTGGAAACTCTCTCCTTAATTCTTCAAGCTGCGTATAACACCGCAGGACCTGTTCTAGGAACCTATTCCGCCGCGCGGTTGAGCAGGGTTTGACATCTGTGTCGATCGCAAACAAATATCTGTGATTTCACAGGACTTCATCTAAAACATGGGGCTTTGCGATCAATTAAAAAGTTCTATAGAGGGGACAGGCTCACGAGATCACGGATCTGATGTGACAGGAGACTTTAGAACAAGAACTGGTCAAAACCTGGGTAGCCACGTAAGTTCTAACAGAAACAATACACAAATAAAAGGTAGGAAGGACCCGGGCTCCTCAGTGTTTTGCCTGAAGGCAGGTCCAGACACACGTGATGGCCCAAGACTAGGCAGGGCCACCCAAGGGTGCTTGTCACGATAGCACAGCCGGGAACCAAACCCTTCAAGACACGCTCGCCCAGGGTCCATCATTCCTAAATGACCGCCCCCTGCTTCCTGGGCAGAATTCTGCTTTGGCTTATTTAGTTGTGAAAGAACACCCCCCGTCCTCATGATGGCCTCGAAGCGCCCTCACTCTGCTCTGGGTTTGGAAATGTGCGTTTTTATACACATGCATTACAGGTCCTTTCAACGCTCTTCTTCCCTAATTTAAAGGTTTCATTTTTTTTTTTTTTTTTTTTTTGTGAGCTCCAAACGTGTACTTTCTATCAGCGTCTTGTCACTTTCCCCACGGACAATTAAATCTAGCTCGGTAATGTATTTTATATTTGACTGAATTTTATTCACTACTTTGCCCTTCCATTTTGGTCAGCACTGAGGGCTGCTGGAACGCAGTTTTCTGGGGAAATTAAGGTAATGTGACAATCGGAGCTTTCCACACAAGTACACGGCAACATTGAACAAAGAACGTGTCATGAGAAAAAGGTTTCCTTGGGGCACCTGGGTGGCTCAGTCGGTTAACTATCCAACTTTGGCTCAGGTCATGATCTTGCGGTTCGTGAGTTCGAGCTCCATATCGGGCTTTATGCTGAGAGCTCAGAGCCTGGAGGCTGTTTCAGATTCTGTCTCTCTCTCTCTCTCTCTCTCTCTCTCTCTCTCTCTCTCTCTCTCACTGCCCCTCCCCCACTTATGTTCTGTCTCCCTCTCTCAAAAATAAATGTTTAAAAAAAATAAAAAAATAAAAAAGGTTTCCTTTAATTAATCTGATAGTGGAAAGTCTCTCTAGATCCAGGAGCAGCATTCGAATCCATTCCTGAATGTCAGCAAATCTTTGGGTAAAATCATGGCACAAGGGGGACTTTCCAAGAATCATCACAAAAATAGGAACCCGAACTGTGAACTCTGCTGCCACCAGGAGCCAGGTTCACTCTCACAGGAGCTACTGTGGTCTTTTTTGTGATCGCTTCCCACACGTTTCCTCTCGGGCTTGTAGCCAGGCATCCCGTCTAAGTTCTGGGAGAATCTAAAGTTGCCTACGTGTTTAAAGATCGAAGTAATCCTTTCGTCACAGTGATGACGAGCATTTTCCACAGTTGGACACATCCTCTCACAAAAGAAAGGCAGGCTGCAGATCGAAACAGAGGATTCAAAACACCCATTTGCCTTTCAAAGTCCTTAGCCAAACCCTGCAGATGAGAGTTTGTGAGCAGTAAAGGCAGGTCGCTCCTCAAAGAGCATCTGGGAAGCAGCGGTGTAATGACCAGGCCAGACCGGTAGAGGCCTGCTGAGACTGGACGGTCTGTGGTTTCAGAAGGAAAGATCCTGTCCTTTTGAGTCACAACAGGTACCACCTGCAGACCCACAACGTTCTTGAACACTTCATGCCACGGTCACGATGGGAACTCCTTCGCCAGTTTCTCAATAAACAGTCGACCTGAACTCAACTAGGATACGCAGACTTGTTGCAGAATCCTTTAATGAATCTACTCTCTCAAAAAACAGATCACATGGGGACTCTGGGTGGCTCAGTCCCTTAAACGTCCAACTCTTGCTCTCGGCTCAGGTCGTGACCTCCTGGTTCCTGAGATCGAGCCCCATGTCGGGCTCTGCGCTGACAGCACGGAGCCTGCTTGGGATCCTCTCTCTCCCTCGCTCTCTCTGCCCCTCCCCCACCTGCATGCATGCATGCTCTCTCTTAAAATAAACTTTAAAAAAATGAGTCACATATAGAAAATACCCATAATCTCATTAAGATGTAAATTATAATCTTAAAAGTTTAAAAAACCTGAGGTGAAAAAAAGTAAGGTCCAATTTAAAGTTCAGCCAACGGGGCACCTGGGTGGCTCAGCCCGTTAAGCGTCCGACTCCAGCTCAGGTCACGATCTCATGGTTCGTGAGTTGGAGCCCTGAGTCGGGCTCTGTGCTGACAGCTCAGAGCCTGGAGCCTGCTTGGGATTCTATGTCTCCTCTCTCTGTCCCTCCCCCTCTCGTACTGTCTCTCTGTCTCAAAAACAAATTAAACACTAAAAACATAAAAAACATCAAAAAAAACTTAAAGTGAAAATCATTTGATCTTTCCAACACTGTGATTTCCAAAGAACTACTGAATTAGCTTATCATTAGTCATTCGCCTACCACTACAATAGGTTGAGGTAAAGGTTCAAGAGCTTTTTTGAAAATTAAAAATAATTGTCTTCAAAGTGAAAAGAAAAAGGATTTAGTCCTAACCTAATATTTTATCCAGGGTGTTCCAAAAAACAGTCCTAGTGTTATCAGAATACAATCAGTGAAGTCCATAGTTACCACAACTTTTTAAAGAGGAAAACCCAGAATTAAGCTTCAAAACTGCCAACCGAAGGTCGCAACGGGGGTCACCAGGTTTCACAAGACAAACGGTAAGAAGAATCCTGAGTTCGCAGAATGAGCTCTGCGTTTTCAGAGACTTGTGCTCCTTCCCACAGGTTAACGAGTAAGAAATGAGACAGGAAACGAGGCTCGGTGCACAATGTGTTATCGTCCGTGTATCTGCACGTCCACTCCCCATGTGTGTGCAGAGTCGACACAGGCTCTTCACGGGATTGGAGAAACTTCTTTCTACGCTTTTTCTGACCCAATATAATTTGGCTGTAGTCAACTCTCGTATAATACACTGGATAAACCTACAAAAAACCCTGTTCCAAAGAATTGGCTAAATCCCTAATAAGGAAAAGATGACAGATGTGTGTTTTGTTTTGGAAAAATGCACAAGGGTCGTTCTCCTCACCACAGACTGTAAACAGCCCTGCTGAGGCACTGGGGTTTTCTATGTCCCCGGCCTTTCAGGTAAAAGCAACATCTGCGAACCCGTTTCCAGGGAGAAGGGAAAAACAGTCCTGGTTACGCAGAGAGCGTCACACGTTCTATAACTGAAACATCACCTTCCGCTAGAAAGTGCCCAGAACAAAACAAAACAAAAAAAATGAATAAGATATGTGAATGCTTAAGATTTATAAAAAGCAGGGAACGATGAAAACAGAGTGGGCCAAGCATCTTTAAATATTTACATAGCTGCTATTTGGAAAGTAATCTGTTCCAATGAGCCGTCTCTAAACCCACAGGGTTACTTGAATCCAAGGAGATTAATTATAACTGCACACCAATTTGAAGTTCCTCTTTTACTCACTGTCTGGTGGTGCAAAGGAGAAAAGCGGAGGCAAGCGTGTGTGGGCGTGTGCGCACGCGCACGCACCACGGAGAAGGGAACAGGCCCCGGGAGTAAAGGGGAAAGAGAAGGGCCCACCTTGGAGGTGTCCCATCACTGCTCTTTGCTCAGAAAGGGCTGATGCCCCCGAGGGACATTAATTCAACAGGCCAAAGCCGTTTGTTAAAGCAAGGGCATACAGGCAGCTGGCAAGAAAGGAGGCAGATGTGGAGCTGCCGAGCTCCAAGTATATACTGGCCACATGGTACCTGGGTGTGGGGCCACCTGGGTGCAAGGCTACCTGGGCAAGGGCTATCCAAGAACAGGGTTACCTGGGCACAGGGTCACCTAGGTGGGGGACCACCTGGGTCGGGGAAACCAGGACCCCAAGGGGCAAGGCTGAGCAGTGACTACCTGGGCCAGGGGTCACCCGGCAGCCAGGACCACCTGGGCCTGGACCTCCTGCACTGAGGGCTGGCGTCGGAGGCCCACCTGAGCCTGCACTCTCCAGGCACGTGTCACCTGGACACCGGGCCTCCCCGGGTTCAGGGACACCTTGGGAAGGTCTGCCTAGGCACAGGGCGCCTTGGGCCTGGGATATCCAGACATGGGGCCACCCGGGGGCGGGGCTGCCTGAGCCCGGACTACTTGGGCAGGAGTCTCGCAGGTACAGGGGTATCCGGCCCGCACTGCGGGGGGCCCAGCCGCCTGGGCGCGCGCGCGCGCTCACCTGGAGCAGGGTCGACCGCACCGTCCTCTCCGCTCTCGTCCGCAGCCTCGTCGGCCAGGCCCGAGCCCGGGGAGTCGGCGGCGGCACCACAGGCCGAGCCCGGGCTGCTGGGCTGCGAGGCCGAGTCGCCCTCGCTGAGCGAGCCGCAGCGCGCACGGGGCGCGCGCTCCCCGGGGCCGTCGCGGTCCCTGCGCGCGCGGCGGTGCACCCGCGAGTGCAGCACCATCTGGTGGTAGGTGCGGAAGATCTTGCCGCACTCGAAGCACTCGGAGGACTTGCCGTGGCCGGCGGGG